AAAACACCTAGAACGGTGAACTGTTTAAAGTGCAAATTCAAGTGTGGAGAACATTTTGAGTAAACTAAACGACTAGAAATAAATAAACACTACTACCAACTAGAGGGTGAAAATAGAAAAAAAGATTTCATATGCCATTTAGTGAAAAGTAGCAATGTTTCACGTCGTCATGACAATTCAGGAATAAGACCAAAAACAATATCCTGTGCATATCAACTGCCAGTGGAAGCGAATGAAAACATTGTCATTAGAGTGTGCCAAAAATTTTTTTGCACGACTTTGGACATAAGCAAGAAAACTGTTCAGTTTGTTGTAAAAAATAAAAATGAGATTAGTCTTTTCATACTACCAAATTCAAAAAAAGGAAAAACTTCAGCCAATAAGACTTCAAAAATGCGAACCAATGCAGTTCGAGAGCACATCCTAAGTTTTCCTCAGGTTGAATCTCACTACTGTCGGGCTTCATCAAAGGCAAAATACCTTAGTCCTGAACTAAGTATTGAGGAACTTTATAGACTATACAAAGATGATTATTGCACAACGAAAAATATCACAGATCCAGTTTCTATCGGTGTATATCGAAGAATATTTGTTACTGATTTTAATATAAAATTTTTTATTCCCAAAAAAGACCAATGCTCGATTTGCAATGCTTTTCGAGATGCCAGTGGTGATGATAAAGAAACGCTATGACCAAATTATGACAGTCATAAATTTTGTGAAAAGGAAGCTATGGACATAAAAAATTCTGATAAGACTGCATCTGCTGCTGACAAGTCCATTCGTTCTATAACTTTTGACCTCGAAGCAGTGTTACCACTTCCATTTGCAGGTGATGCACAAATTTTCTATATGCGGAAACTTGCCGTTTATAATTTTACTATTTATGAAACGTCGACCAAAAAGGAATTTGTTACCTATGGGACGAAAGTGAAGGTAAATGAGGAGCCAATGAAATAAATACTGCTCTGTTAGATTATATGAAGTCTCTTCCAGTTTCTGTGAAGAGGGTGACTTCTTTTAGTGGTACGTGCTCTGGACAAAAAAGAAACCAATTTATTGTTGCGACAATGATGTACATTGTTCAAACAACTCACCTGGAATGCATCGATATGAAGTATATGGAGTCGGGTCATTCTTATTTAGAAGTTGACTCTATACACAGTACTATTGAACGCAGTAAGAGCCATCAAAAAATTTACACTACACGAAAATACAAAGTTCTGATTGCTGCAGCGCGCAAGAATCCGTGTCCATATCTTGTTAAACCACTGCAACACACCGATTTTTTTGACTCAAAACAACTTTGCGGTAAAATTGTGAAAAATCGTACAAAAAATATTAAAGGTGAAACCGTCAACTGGTTGAATATTAAGTGGGCAAGGTTTGAAAAGTCAAGACCATTCATTATGCAGTACAAATATAGCATTACGTCGCCTACCTTTATAGAAATAAATGTACAGTCTGGAAGAGGACGATGATCCAACATCGAAGGATTAGAGCCTCAGCCATTGTATCTTACTCGCCTGCCTATTTTGGATGCGAAAAAAAAAGATCTCATGCGCATGGTGAAATCGCGTGTTATTCCACCAGATTATGCCCAATGGTATAACAACCTACCGTCTGCAGTAGCCATGAGAGACAGTTTACCAGAACCAACTGCTGATGAGTCAGAAATTGATGAATCGGACTATGAAGACAACTAGAACTAAGACTTAGTTTTCTGTCAGTCATTTTTTTCAGTATTACTATTATTATTCTGTTATATAATTTTGCTATTAAAACAATTTTTGTTCTTAACTCGGATTATGAAGACAATTAGCACTAAGACTTAGTTTTCTGTCAGTCATTTTTATCAATATTACTATAGTAATTATTCTGTTAAATTTTGCTATTATAACAATTTTTGTTCTTTACTCGGACTATGAAGATAACTAGAACTAAGACTTTGTTTTTTGTCAGTCATTTTTTTCAGTATTACTATAATAATTATTCTGTTATATAATTTTGCTATTATAACAATTTTCTGATTTTTCTGCTAATTAAGATTAAGATTTCACTTAGAATTTAATAATATTGATTACAAAAACATTGTTTACAAATTTTTAAATTCTGTTCAATTCACAGTTAATTTGAGTAAAGGTTATATCTCCATGGTAATTGTAAAATTTGTCCCAAAATGTTACTAATTTTAAAAAGTTGGAACCATGATTGTCATTATCTGATAGTTTACACAATCATAAAAAGCATTATGTATTAATTAAAAAAGAATTTTAATTGGATTCATTATGTTTATAAATTTCAAAAATTCCATTCAACTTGCAATTAATTTAGGCAAAGGTTCTATCTCTATGATGACTTTTATAATTTGTGCCATACTCTTTTCAATGTTAATAATTTCAAAAAAGTTGAATTATTCCTATCATTTTTGATAGTTCTAATTGATCAAAAAACATTAACACTAACAAAAAATGAAATTGCTAATTTATGCTTAATGCTCAAACTTTGTTTTTGTTCTCCTGCAAAACTACCCAAAATGGAGATAGAACCTCTGCCCTCTAAGGCGACAATATATATATATATATATATATATATATATATATATATATATATATATATATATATATATATATATATATATCAGGGTTGCAAAAAATGTTGGTTTAAATCGAACTAATGTTTTTTTAAAAAAGATTTGAACTTAAAACAGGAAACTAAGACAGGGTTATGCTCACAAATATAACTAATCTTCAATATAGATATATTTTTTTAAATTCATGATTTTTGTTTTTGTTTTTTTTAAAAGTTTATCAATATGCTTCATCCAGGATACACTCTACCTAATAGAACTGAAATTGGATGAGAAATATTAGATAGGGTTTACACAGAAGAAATTGAAAAATGTAATGTATTGAATGGGAAAATTGTAGCCATGTCTTTAGATGGCTGGAGTAATGTACATAATGAACCTATATATAAAATTAACATTTTAGTAGAAACAATCAACACTTCTGGTTATTCACATATTTTGAATATCTTACACAATTAGCAAGAGAAGCAATAGATTTTGTAAGATGTAAATTTGTATGCACAGTAAAAAGCTTTGTGACTGACAATGCAGCTGATGTGAAATCAATGAGACAAGTATTGTCATCTGAAAAAGATATTATGGGTGTGCTGCTCATATGCTGAATCTTTTAGCAAATGATCTTAACATTGAAAATGTGAGCAAACATGTTACACAAATAATAAAATATATAAGAAATAATCATCAAGCTGGAGCAATTTATAAATTAAGCAGAGGAACAAAATTGCCACTTCCTACTGAAACTCGTTGGAATTCTGTATGTGATTCACTTGAAAAATATGTCAACAACTGGAGCATTATTTTTACAATGTTTAAAAAAAATAAAGACTAAAAAAAAATAAAGACCAAAAAGTAAGTGATATACAGATAAAGCGAAACACAGAAGATTTATTGAAAATATTAAAACCAATTGCAGTAGCTCTAGATAAGTTGCAAAGAGATCAAACAAAAATAAGTGACTCTTGAAATTTTTAAAGATTTGATGAACAGTTTATCATTTTTATGAAACGAAAAAGAAAAAAAATTGAATCTAGATACCTTCAGACTGTCAGTGATGCTCATTTCCTGGCAAATACACTAGATCCTAGATATTTTGGATCTAATATTTCTGAAAATGAAAATGAAGCTGCCATGAATTTTGCAGATAAATAGGTCAAGAATTAGTTCATTCTGAGTTAAGAAACCAAAAAAACCATGGTTTTTTTGGTTTCTTTAAAAAAACCTATGGTTTTTGGTTTTTTTTAAAAAAAACAGTTTTTTTGCAACCTTGATATATATATATATATATATATATATATATATATATATATATATATATATATATATATATATATATACATATACATATACATAATATACATATATATACATATATATATATATTCATATACATATATACATATACATATATATATATATATATATATATATATATATATATATATATATATATATATATATATATATATATATATTAGAGTGCTTCTAAAAGCAACTTTTTTTGAATATTACTGCTGGCACCTGGTATCCCCTGAATATGTTCTATATAATAAAAAAATCCTGGATTTAAAAAAATTTTGAATAAAAAATGTTTTAAGGGGTTGCTACCAACCCTCTATCATTTAATAGGTCCCTAGTATTATTAAAAAAAAAAAAAGTATTTTAAAACTATGTCATGTTTGATCTAAAATAAAGCAAAATTGTAAAAAAATGTCAAAGATATTCATTTTATAATAAACTTCGTTTTATAATTAAATTTTTATTTTAGATTTTCATGAACATTAAGTTGTTTTTTAACTCAAAACAAAAAATAGCAAACTTAACAAGATTTTTTGATTATAATTTTTCTATTAATTTTTTTTATAAAATGAATATTATTTTTGAAATTTTTATATAATTTTGCTTCGTTTGAGACCCAACATGACATACTTTTGAAAAACTTTTTATTTAATAATATAGGAACCTATTTTTAGTTATTAGTCAAAAGCAAAGTTTGATGTTTTGGTTTATAGACGTTTACAAGCTTATATGTCGTTTACAAGCTTATATTATACAAGTCATATGGTAACCATCTCTAGACATACCATACCCTATTACTTCACCATAAAGCTTAGCATTTCTTTTTATTGCATGTTGATATTCTTCAAGAACTAAAATTGCTGCACCTTCTCCAATGACAAAACCATCTCTTTTACTATCAAAAGGTCTTGATGAGGCACTTGGATTTTCAAAAAATGCTGTAGATAAAGCTCTAGCACTCTATTATAACTCTATTATAATCTCTATTATACCTATTTTAATTTTTGCAATGCAAAATGCATATGATTTATTAGATTTAATAGTTTGAGTCAAGTTTTTTTTTAACTTTTTATTATATTTTAATTTATTTTTAATTTACTTTACTTATTTTAAGATACTTCATTCCTTTTATCATTTAATTGCTCGTAAAGAAAAACAGTCGATGAATAAAATGTATGAAGATGTGGTTTCAATGAGAATTACAAATTTTCTTATGGAACATTATGAAGAAATATTTATGGTATGTTTAAAAATGTTTGTTACTGGTTAAATTTTCACTTTAGGAATATGTACATGGTTATTGTGTGAATAGGAGTTTGTAGATGTTTGTGTGAATAGGTGTTATTGATAGTTGTTAATGTTTGTGTGGGTAGGTGTTATTGATAGTTGTTAATGTTTGTGTGGGTAGGTGTTATTGATAGTTGTTAATGTTTGTGTAGGTAGGTGTTATTGATAGTTGTTAATTTGTGTGTGGATAGGTGTTATTGATAGTTGTTAATGTGTGTGTGGGTAGGTGTTAGTGATAGTTGTTAATGTCTATAGGTAGGTGTTCAGTGTTTTAACACTGAATACCTCAGGTATTCAGTGTCTACTTTTTATCGAAAAAAATATAAAATTAAAAATGGAAAATTAAAAATGTTAATTAAAAATGACCTATTTCTTTTATTTGAAAGCTAAATTCAACATGTTTTTTTTTTGTTTTTTTAATTTTAGTTGAACTTTATCATATTATCCGCTTAATCGTACCGTGGTTAGGTTGAACCATTTGCCAACTAGTACAGTTTTTTAGGGTTCATTTGACAAAAAACTTTGCTTAACTAGAACTTTTACTTTGAATTGCATAAAAGTCTAATAAAATATTAAAACTTGCAACACATCATAATCTTCAATATCTAGCATAATATTTATAAATATCTTATAAATAAATATCTAGCGTAAAAAAAATTATTATTCTTAAAAACTTCACTTATAGCTTAGATTTCTTACAGGTTCGATCACATTCTTAAAGTCTATTTATTAAAAAAGTTAAAGCTAAATGTAACTAGAAATTTAAAAAATAAAGTTTTAATAAACAATACGTGTAACAAATGTATTTTTATACATTTAACTTTTCATTGAAGAAAATTAAATTTGAATTAATACTTTTGGAAGCGTGCTCACAAAAAACAAAAGAAAAAATGTAACATCACTATTTTCAACAAAAGAAAAAATGTAAAATCACTACTTTCACAAAGGCATTTCTCAAAATATTTGTCAGTATATTCACTTGATAATAATTAAATCGCGCGTTCAGTTTAAATTAGAATGCAGTTTTCTGTTTTGTAAAAACAATGAATGGAAAGTTATGAAGTCATTACTGTCAACAGATAGAATGGAATGTTTACTATTTTCAAAATGTTTTGTCCCAATGAGAATAGAAAATTTAAATTAAATCTTGAATTTTTAAAATCATAAGTTTTAATCCTCGAGATTTTGTAAAATTGTAAGATTCTTTCGCTTTATTGCTTTTATTTTTCACACATCTTTTGTGAATAAAAGAAATATTCTTTATCTTTTTTTTATATTCGTAATTTATCGCTGGCCCCATAGCAACCAATTTTCAACTCGCTCTCTGACTGAACTGAATATCGCTCTCAAAGACTTGATGTCGAGAGCGCATAATCGTACTCGTTGATGATGTGTTTCAGTGTTACAAGCACAAAATATTGCGCTGGGTGATTTTATTCATCACATGACTGCTATATAAAATTTTTATAAATCTTTAAAAAAATAGTATTCTATATATATATTATAAATACTAGACAATTAAGTAGAGTTCTAAGAGATTTTTAATACTTTTAGTACAGGTTCTTTGCCAGATCTAGTAGTGACAGTAGTACATAATTTTTTTTTGTTAATGTTGCTCAATATTACACAATGATGTTCTTCCATATCCAATAAATAATAGTCTGATATAATCATAAAAATATTACTTGAAGATTTTCTGCAAACATGATCTTTTTCTTTTCTGAAAAATTACAGAACAAAAAGATGCCCATTGGCACGAATTATCTGTTGAAATTTTAAATCCGCCACGATTCAAAAGTTTATAAAAATGACCATATTTCTGGCAATAGAGCGTTGTTTGATCTAAAGGTTCATAATCAGTTCTTTCTTTATCATTTTGTGTATCATAACCAGCAATGTGAATAAGTGACATTTTGATATCATCAGCGATAGAAAATTCCAGATCTTGCAAATTATGAAGAATTTCACAGCAGTCTTCAGACAATTTGTATTGGCATAATGCGCATTGATGACCAGGCTTCACATTAAAATTGTCAATATCTACACTAAATTTTTAAAGTAAAGATGCATGTTTGATACGTAATTTTTCAACAACTTGTTGATTACTTAGAATAAAATGTATCACCAGATCCTTGATGAAGTATACTATATTCTTTTCCAGGTGATCTGATGTAAATTGACCAAGAAGAACATAGTTTTTGGAGGGCAGTGTAACTCACAGACAACAGTATACTTGGTAACAACCAAATTAGAGTTTGGAATAGCTTTTATCCATTTTTCACGCTCAACATTATTATTCAGAAACCAATACACTGATATTTTATTTACTTCACTAGATATTTTGTTTTTTTAACTTTGATAGTTGGTGTGACAAGCATACACACAACATTTATTTGGCATGATGACCTTATTTGAATTTTTTAAATATATTAATCGGTTTGAATTAAATCTGAAATTCCATGTTTAAACTATATAAGTTTGTTAACATTATATTATATTCCATTATTTAAATATATATCATAAATGACATGACATTTTATCTGGTCTGAATGTGTAGAAATAATTCTTTTTTGTCGTAAAAAAGTAGGCCTAAACAAAAAAATCCAGTTGCACAATGAATAGGCCTGTAGTAGAGAACGCTATGATCTAATTATATAGTAGAGTCATTATTGATATTTTTATAATTTTTTATATATTTAATTATAGCTTCAAAATTCAAATTTTAACTTCAAAATTTAATGACTAAGCAAAAATGTATAAATATAAAATTTTTGACTTTACTAGTTACCTACTGGGCTTCGTGTTCAAGTTGACCACAAAATAGCTGTTACATTTGGTGCAAAGGTAATTTTAATATTAATTTTTAAATGCACCTATAATTCCTACTGAAAATTTAAATGTATAATTAAATGTATTTTATATTAATTCTGTAATAATTTTTTTAATTTTTTTTATTTTAAGAAATGCAACAATGCATTATCGTCAATAAATATTGTAAACAAAAAACACTGCAAAAATAATCTTATAAATCCAATTAAACGAACTCCCTCTTTCTGTGCTCGCATATCTATGCAACAATATGAGAAAGAGGCTGCTGAGTTATCAAGAAAAGCTTTGCATGACCTTCTGTTATCAATAATTAATAATAAAAATATTTCTGAAAAGGATAAAACGAAACAGTTAAAAAAGGTATCAGTTATATTTATATATATATATTTTTGTGAGTAGTTTTACTTTTTATGTGAAAGCTTAAATCACGGATTCTTCCATAACAGTTACCATTATATCATTTAAACTCTGTATGAAAGAAATTTTTCTAAAAAAGATCACCCATTTTTAAGTGTACAAAGACCTTTTAAGGTTTTATAAAGACCTTATAAGGTTTTATAAAGACCTTATAAGGTTTATAAAAGACATTTATGAAGATTAAAGTATACAAGATTTTTTCTTTATATATTGTCATCATTTGTCAAAGTTGTGAAGTAGCTTTTGTATTACATCATTTTTTTTATACCTAAGCAACTGGTAACCTAAGCAACTGGTTCTTTGCTTCTCTTTAATTTTTAATTTTTTTGTTATGACTTTCTTAATTCTTAATGTTAGTTAGTTTGCTTTGGCTTTTTCATCTCTTCTGACAAATAAATTTTATTTCTGATTGGATTATCAATCAAAATCCTTGTTTTTATTTGCTTGCTTTTAACAATTTGTTTTCCAGTAGATGCTTTTGGTAAAGGGGTCAAAACATCAGGTGAGATTTATGTAGCCATGTATGCAATTACATTGTTTAAAATAGATTGTTTCAGCATTCATTTCAGGTTCCAGGTTGCTGATAAAAATAGATTTAACTGTATTTAGAATAGCGTGATCTGTAACTGATGTTAGTAAATATTCATCATCTTCAAAAATTTCCGAATTAAATGCCTCAATGCCATTCCCACTCAAAGTCTTGTCTGTATATTAAATAGTGAGAAAACTTTTGTACAGTTCACAAAATTTTAAACAATATTGTTAGTGTTTATAGGTCATGGGTTTTTGACCATCCAATTGTCACATGCAGCATTGTAGAATCTTTTCAATTGTCCAAAATCAGTTCCATCCAAGAAATGCAATTTTTAACTGCAATAAAGAGAAAAATATAGCATTGTGATTGAATTGCAAAATTCAAAGTTCTAACAGAAGTAAGACTTTTACGCTGTCTAGAAATAAAAAAAACTGAAGATGCAAGAGAACAGTTTTAATAAAATGTTTTATCCATTCTAAATTAATGTCTGAATTTATTCAACCAGAAGGACTTGCAAACCATGTGTATCCAGGAGAACCTTACTTTATCATGTAAATGTGAAGTTTTACCCTAGGAAAAAAAAAAGTGGAAGAATAGAATTTTCAATTTTGTTTAAAGCACATGCCGTTACCAACGTTCCTCGCTCTGCAGATTTTTCCAAATTGTTTACTTCCTCTACCTTTTAAAACTTTTACTAGTTTTTAAACAGTTATTAAATCAGTTTTGTTAACATATATATATATATTTTATATATATATATATATATATATATATATATATATATATATATATATATATATATATATATATATATATATATATATATATATATATATATATATATATATATATATATATATATATATATATATATATATATATATATATGTATATATACAGTAAGCTTCTTTAACAGCTGCTTTCATTATATCGCATGGTATAGTAACTCAGTCTGTTTTTTTAAGTTCTGGCATTATGTGAGCAAGATAACGTCCAGTTGGCTCCCAAGTTACACTTATATGCCCCTCTTCTATGACTCTAGGGTAAATTTTTCCGTATTTATCTGGAATTAATGTTTTGGTCAAGTCTTTTCTTCCATCATACGCAATTCCAATTATATTTTTGTTACTACATTTAAATAGTTCAATAATTGTATTTTCTTTCATTACATTATTCTTAGCCGTTTGCATTTTATTTGGTTCAACAGAAAGTTATGATATATCAGGAGAAAGATAACCTGCAGCTATAAAATCTTTTATTATACCAGTGACTATAGAAGTAATATATCTTATTGCAGCTGATAGTGCATATGCTATGGTCATTTTGTTTTGCTTCAGACTTGGTTTTTTTAAGTATCTTGTAACCAGTAATGCTAATCTTCCAAGTTTTTCTTTAAGCAACTTGTCAACCAAAGTTTTTGTTTTTGTTCATTAGTTGTGCAGTATTTATATTTTATGTATCATCATTGGTGTTTTCTTCCAGCAAATTGAAAAATAGTTCAGGATTCTAAATTGTTTAAAAATGCAGTTTCTATAATATATTATATTACTTACCAAGATTGGTAAGTAATAATATATATAACAGAATATATAAATTTTAAATTTAAAAAAGTTTAATATGTATATTAAACATTAAAAAGTTAGTTTTATAGTCAATTTTAGATAGCAGTAAGAAATGTTTTAAAACAATTAAAGAATTCCATTCCTTCATTGTAATTTAGCTATTCTGAAATTTATCAAACTCACTTTTTTTATTATTTTCTTTTTTTTTTTCCTTTTACTTTTAGCTTCTTCTTAAATGTTTTTTCTTTTTTTCTCTACTTTGTAGGTGAATCGATTCTTTACAATCACATAAACCAATTTGCGTAGTAGAAATCTCTTTCTTTTTTTTTGGCCTCTGATTACGAAGCCAAAGAAGATCAAGTACAGGAATATTTTGTAATAGAGGACATGAACAATAAACATGTGCACCTATCTTGCAGTTTTTGGGATTATTGCAAAATGATGCTGCCTCTGTGCATATATTGATTGTATGAGTACATGCTATGATATCAAAGAGACTATAGAGGTCATTAATTATTTTATTGGTTGCTTCTTTGGATGGTTTTGTGTGTTTCAAAAACTTGGATATTTTAATCCATAGGGGTTGTCCATAAAGTACTTTCGCTTTTTTTCAAAATTTCACAAACCTTATTTAAAAACAAATTTGTTCATAATTGCTATTTAATATTGTTATTAAAATTGTAAAAAAAGTATATATTTATTAAATCTAAAAAGGAAAATTTCTTCCTGTTCTTTGTTTACATTAAAATGTTTACTTTTCAAAAACTGTTTACTAAAAAAAAATTCATAAAGATTAGGGTAAACTGGGGTAAAGTGAACTGTTTTTGATATTTAAAGGAAATATTTTCAAAATAAAAGCCAAAACATTTTGCAGTTTTCAAAATTTATACCATTTAAAGTATTAGGTACAATATAAAACAAAATACTAAGATTAAAAGCTACTTTTACAATATTAAATATATATTCAAAAAAAACATGTCCACTAGTTCACTTTACCCCCACATTGGGGTAAAGTGAACTACTTCATCTTTAACTCTTTTGTGTTTGTTATTTCTAATAAATTAGTTTTTTTATTTTGTATTTTGCCTTGCTGCTTGATCTTTCTTTTAAAGCATTCGTTTTCTTCATCATTTAATCTTTTAAATGCATCTTCTGATGTAAGACACTCACCTCCATAGTGTCTTTTTATTTTTTTTGTAGGTCGTTTGTTGTATGAACGACCATCACCCTTTGTGGCCATTAACTGTTCTTTCACTATTTCTCTAATGATTTTATTTCCAGTAGAACAATCTAGATTTGATATTGATAGTTGATTTATTTTTTCATTGTTTAAGTCTTTTCCTACTGATATTATAGTTTTTTGTGAATTGTATTTATTTGTTGATTCAATAGAAAAATTTTCACAAGTATCGTTCTGATCATTGACATTGGTGTCTAAAACGATGTTTTGAGGGACGTTATTATTATAGTTATTTGTTTTCTGAGAAAAAGGGTGTTCATAGATTTCAGAAGGATTTAACTTGTCAGATGCTATAGCAGATGGATCAAAGGGAAAAATTCCAGTTTTGGCAAAGGATTGTACTAAATGAGCTGGCTTAAAGGAGGTATCATAAAGTTTTTTTAATAAAGATGGAAAAACAGATTTCCCAACCACCTTCAGCCTTGACTCGGTATACCAATTGGCCAGAATTTCACGCCATACATGTTTAACTTGGCGAAAGACTCCTACATCAAGTGGCTGAAGCAAATGCGAACAGTGTGCTGGCAAACACAAAATAGTTATATGATTTTCAACTGCTTTTTTAACAGTTTCTAAAGAAATATGACTAATGTGACCATCAAAGATAAGCAAAACAGGCTTGGGTGTGTCTTTCAACCATAAAACAAGATGGTTAAAGTATTCAGTGAAAACTTCTGTTTCCATCCAACCGTTTTTTGTCACCCCATATAAGGAACCATTTGGTCCACCAGTCATCCACTCTTTATACAAATTCTTCCCAGCAAATAAAATAAATGGAGGAAAATTTCTTCCTGCAGCTGATATTGTTGCTAGTACAGTAAACTGTTCTTTTCCTGATCCAGGAGCAATAGATACAGGGTTTTTAATACCTCTTTTGCAAATAATTTTTTTATTTATTGGGTTAGTGCAAAACCCACTTTCATCGCAGTTTAGTATTTGGGCAGATCTATTCATAATGTCACATTTTTCCAATGTTGCTTTAAGTAATAAAAACCAAGCATCAATTACAGTTTTATTACAAGCTAAGGCTCTTGTTAATGTCAAAAGCTCTGGAGTTCTTATAGATATTTCTTTCTGCCAACGATTTAAAAAATTACAAAACCACTGATCACCAGCAACACCATTAACAAATTTTTTCTGAAATCCGTTTAATTCAATATACGTTTGAACAAGTTTCATAAATTGTTTTTTATCTAATCCAAATCCAAAATCAGAAAATGCAGATAAAAGTGAAACAAGATCTTTTTCAGCATCAGCAGATAATCGGTTTGGTCGCCCTTCACCAACTTTTGAGCATTTTATGCCTAGAAGATGTCTTGCAATTGTACTTCTTGGAACACCATATTCTTTTGATGCAGCATACGAAGTCATTTCTTTATTTTTAACTTTCGAAATGGCATTTTGCAACAAATTAGGTGCATATGTTTTTCTTCGAGATTCTTTTTTCTTAATGTAGTTTCTTGGCATTATTTCAATATATTATATTTCTGAAAATAATTTTAAGAATATTTAAAAAAAAAACAACTTATTTTAAGAGTAAACAATTTAGTTAAGTAATTACAATTTATATATTCAGTTCTACTAAAAATATTTGATGAAAAAACATAAGAAAAAGACTAGTTCACTTTACCCCCAATAGGCAGAAAAATAAGGGGTAAAGTGAACTAAATTGATTTACAAACTAAAAGCTTAGCTTTTTTATATTATGATAAAAACTACAATTTTTTTTTAACAGCATTATATTATCTTTAAAATGTATATAAATTATATAACTGATGTTCGCATTAATAACAACAAATCATGAATTTACTAAAACCCATAGCAAAGTTTGAGATCGTAATTTTAAAACTTCCGCCAAACTCGCTTTTTAAAATGGCTATTACATCAAAACAAAGGCTATATTTTATTAATTTTTTTATTTAAAAAATTTCAAAATGTTGTATTAAGCAAAAATAATGCTAAACTACTTAACAAAAAGTTTTTTAAACATGATAACTTTTTAGTTTAAAAAAATAGTTCACTTTACCCCTAGTTCACTTTACCCCAGTTTACCCTACTAGTTTCAAAAAACGCCTTAAAAATAATATCTGCTTTTAATTTTTAAAATTTTTTTCAAAACGTTTTATTTTTTTCAAACGGTTAGGGAAAAATCATTGGACTACTATTGTTTTGAAATTCTTAATAGTTGATTATACTTTTAAACAATTATAGTTATTGTTATATTATATTATAACAATTATTATTATATTATAACAATTATTATTATATTATAACAATTATTATTATGATAAAACAATAATTATCTAATAAGAATTTCAAAACATAGTGTAGTCAAATGATTTTTCCCAAATCATTTGAAAAAAATAAGGTATTTTGAAAAAAAAATTAAAAATTAATTAATTAAAAAATTATAGTGTAACTAATATCACTGGCATAAGAACAGGGGGGGGGGGGCTAGGGTTTCAAAGGGTTAATCGCCACTCTCCCTAAGTTTCTTAAAATTTCTTCTTTTTTTATTCAAATTCTGTTTTTTGCTGCCCTAGCTCGCTTTAATTTTTATTTCAAATATTTTAATTTGATTTTTTTGGTTGTGATTTCATTACCATTTATCATATATATCAGAAACATCACTGAACTCCAATTTTTGTTTTGAGCGAAGCAATTTTCACACCAATTAGTGATTTCAAATTTGTCCTGATATTCTTGCAAAAACAAATAATATGTAAAAATTAGCTCTTCTTTGCACTGCCCAGCAATTTCCTCATGCCAAACAATTGACTACACTTTCCTTTGTTTTTCTAATTAACACAAATGTTTTATTGTATGTTGTTAATCGCTGACAATACATTGCTTCTTAAAAATTTTCCATTCTTGGTAGCATAATTACTTTTTCCATGTCTGTCGCCACTATTATTTCTTGAGCACAAGCTGTTCGATCAGCATCAAGTCTATATTTGTGTCTGGCGTGTCCGACAACTCTTTTGCTTCATCAAAGATGTTACGATATTAGAATGTTTAATGTTTTTATATTACATCTGAGCGCAGAATCTCAGCTCGGAAAAGAGATAGAACAGGTAAATTTAAAAACCTTTGGGTGGGAAATGCAAACCAAAGAAAATTACCTTCAGTTTTCACGTTTTTTAATGTTTTATGTACTACTTCAAAGTTAAAATAATTCCCTTTTTCAGGAAAAATTATTGCGGATAAAGAATCTAGCATTTGCCATTGCAAAAAGTGCTGCAAACATGTTAAAAGAAAATGCTGTAAGTAAAGCTAACATCCCACAACTCATGGCTAGTATAATGGACACAGAATGGCAAACCATATTTTCCTTAGAGATTTATATTATCATTGGATTTGTTACCTTAACTATACGAGACCCTAAAATATTCCTTTTATTTTAACAGAAGATGCAGTTAAGCATTTATTCTTCGTTGATAAGGGGAAACTCTTTGAAGTTTTTTTGAAAAAGATTGAGAATCTAGAAAAAAAGAATCCAAAACTGATTGAACAGCTTATCAATCATGTCGCACAAGAGCTTCGCAGCCAGGTTTTGTTTATGAAAAAAAACATACTTTGAATGGCCTCCTAATAAAGACAAGTCAGGCCCGTAGCAACCAGGGGGGCAGCAGGGGCATTACCCCCTCCCCTAATAGTTTTTCAAATAAATAATTTTGAAGAAATTGACTGAAAAAAATAATTAAAAAAAAGGTCCTCAAAGCTTTTTCAGAGTCCTCAAAGCTATTTTAGTACTGCCCTCCTCCCCACTCCCCTCCTTCCCCCCACTCCCCTCCTCCTTTCCCAACCCTCCCAATATAATTTTTGTTTCTACGGGCTTGCAAGTTACTAAGAATTAAAACTGGAATTCCACATCTTCAGCATCAACTTTTTGCAAGAAAAAAAAATTTTTGTGCTAGAGTTAGTAAAAAATGAATTGTCAAAGTAAACTTTGTGAAAATGTAATCTGTAATGTAACAAACACCCATCATCGGTGCTCTAAAGACGCATTATTAGGGTTAAGTATCAAACGAACATTATTAGGGTTAAGTATCAAACAAACATTATTAGGGTTAAGTATCAAACGAACATTATTAGGGTTAAGTATCAAACGAACATTATTAGGGTTAAGTATCAAACGAACATTATTAGGGTAAAGTATCAAACGAAAAAATGGATCAAAAGAGTTTGTGAAAGTTATATAGAATATAGAAGGTTATATAGAATATAGAAGGTTATATAGAAGGCAAAGTAAATTAGGACATGGAATTTCCTATGAAGAGGTAAATTATTTAGAAACATCTCTTGCACAAAATGCAATGCGAAATCAAATTTTTAAAATTTTTTGCCCATCTGTTCTCCATCCCTCAAAATTTGTGACCTTTGTTTGGGACAACAATGACATAAATCACGGAACTTTAAACGGAACTTCTATGCACACTACAAATGGTATTGTCATTCAGTTACAAAACCTTAGTCAAGTACACAAAAACCCATTTAATCATGTAACCTATTTCAACCAAATAGAAAAGTTTATATGTCAGTTATATGGATTGAAATACAATAATTCAAAAGAAGAAAGATAACTTAAGTTTATTGCCAAGAAAGGGGATGCTCCTTGAAAGAGCTTCGTATGTAACAGCAATTGTCAAACGATCACTAGAGGCAAATCCCAATATTCTGAAACCCCATGGATTTGGATGGCAAGAAATTTGTGATCAACTTGAGGCTGAATGGATGCTCATTCCACCTGCTCCAGAAGATGTTTTGCAGTTAATTTCCTTTGTGTGTAAAAAGTCAAAATGTGAAACACGGGTTTATCTTTGTCAATCGCATAGATTAACATGTACGGATTTGTGCAACTGTTTGTCTTTTGAAAACACAAATGATTGGGAAGACACTTTAACAGAATATTGTTTGGCTGATTCAGATATATATATATATATATATATATATATATATATATATATATATATATATATATATATATATATATATATATATATATATATATATATATGAAAATGTATATCCTTGATTTAAATGTCATCAATCAAGAACTTTGACCCTATTAGTATTTTCCTTCTTAAAAATCTGTTAACAAAATTTTTTTAGGAAGAGTTAACCTTTCGTTTAACGTAAATATATATATTTTTTAAAAACTCGTTAACGTTACATCATCAGTACTAAATAAGAAATTTGACCCTTTAAGCACTTTTAGAATTGCCCGTAAGTTTTTCTCAAGATGTTGTTATTTATTATAAGGTTTTCTCTAGAGGTCATCTAACGTTTGATGTAAATATGTATTTTTTATTCTGATAAAAAATATATATATTAGCGTGACGTCATCAGTACCAAATAGAGGCTCAAATTTGACCCTTTAGGCACATTCAGAGAGGCACGTAAAGTTTTTCTCATTCAAGACATCAACTTTAAACTATTTAATTAGTTTTTGTAATGTCTACTTCATTTCCAAGAAAAAATTACACGTAACACCTAAACTAATAGACGATTAAACAATATTAATTCAAATAATAATTTAAATAATAAAAGGATCATCTACTACATGGTCAAAAAATTATCTACAAAATTTTATCACATTCATTTTATCACATATATATAATATGCATACTCACTGAGTATGAATAATATGAACGCGTTATAAAAATAAACTTTATGATATTTTGATAACTGGTATTAATTTTACAATGTGAGCTCTTGCAGCTAACCTCCAAACATTATCACATCGTCGTAATATTGCTTCTCTTTCTCTTTTCTACAAATAAAGGTCTAAAGATCTGGCGTCTCTTGTACCATCTACTAAAATTTATTCTTGTATTACTTATCATTCAATAAGGTCTTATTCTTTTTTTGTTACTGTTCCTAAGTGCTCCAAAAACTTTTATTCATCCAGTTTTTTTCCTAAAACATCTCCTCTTTGGAATTTGCTTTCCTGATTCATATAATTTGCAATATTTTAAGTCGTCAGTCAATCGTTATCTTGCTCTATACTTCATCTTTTCTCTTCTAGTAACTTTGTTTTAAATAAAAAAAAATGTTGTAATTAACGACCTCAAATTGCTCTAAAAACGAACATTAAAGTATTGCAAAAGTTTTGTTACGTTGTGTTATTTTTAATTAAATTTTGTTTTGATTTATTTTCTAATAAAGTGGCTTTTTAAAAAAATTTTATCTTAATTTAAACTAAAATTTTTTTAGCACTTTTATATTCATATTTTATTAAAGAAACTTCTGATATTATTTTAGTTTGAAAAGACATATCCCGAAATATATACTGAATACAATCGCCGAAAAGCTCTGCTACCAAAAACAGGTTCATCGTCGTCCCAACCTTAACGTTATGTTTTTTATTGTGTAAAATCTTGAAATAAACTTAAAACATTTTTCGATTTGAAGCAAAAAAAACTCTTAGATTACAAAAAAACGTTAGGCGGAAAAATTGGATCTAAATGTTCGACAAAGAAAATGGATCAAATAAAAGTGGAAACACAACGTTACTTATTCACTTTCCAGTTTTGTTTTAAGATAAATAAAAATTTAAGTTCAGACAAATTATTTAACTATAAGTTTTAATTTTTTATTAAATTATATTTCTATTAAATTATGTCAGCAATTTTTTAATGTAAAAAATATTTTTTTTAATAATTTTTTTTTGAATTCTCTTTAGATTTTTTAAAAGCAACATTTCTTTTTCGCCAATTTCAACAACTCTTTTTCTCGTTCAATTTCTAATTATTAAACCAATTGTAATATAAATAAAAACATTTAAAGAGTTGATTTCATTATTTTATCAAAATAATACATTTAGCAATATTTAATATTCGTGGTTTCCTTGAAGATATTTCGTTATAATATCAGGAATTATCTTTTTCCGGATATTTCCGGAATTCCGGATATTTTTTTCAATTTTTAGTTTTTCCGGATATCCAAAATATTTTCAATACATGCAAGATGAGGTATATATTTTTGTAATATATTTATTTTTTAAGCTTTTTCACTCATCACTTAAAAAAAATTATGAAAAGTAACAAAAAAAAATTAAAAACAATTTTACTAAAAGCGAAATTAAAAAGAAAATAAGGAAAAACAAATTCCGGATTTTTTCCGGATGTTTTTTCCAAACCATTTTCCGGATTTTTAAAATATGACTAGGATAATCTATGTAATATATGCGTAATAAAATTTCAGTTAAATGTCGTAATAAAATGCGTAATTCGCTAATAAGAAAACAAAAGTAAATTACTCAGCGAAGTTAAGGAGAGATCCGAACGATTTAAAAACAAAAATTTACATTTTTAAACTTCGATTTTTTGTGTTTTTAGCTTATTTTCGAGTATTACTGTTATATATTTTTAAAAAGTAGAATTTAAGCTTCCTTTGTATAATTTATTATTTTTTTATAAATCTTTTGTTAAGCAAAGCATCAAGTAAAACAAAACTAACACTAAAATACACTTAACGCGACGGGGCACTATGCGTCGCTCTAATAAAAAATGAGGAAATAGGCTTATAAATAAGGAAGCATTCAACATATTAAACTGAATTTTTCACAAAACATTGAATTTTTGTTTATATTTCTATATTTAAAAGAAAAACACCCGGTTTTTTTTTAAAAAAAAATTTACGGTTCATCCAGACTAATTTCTTACTATTCCGAAAAAAATTACATATGCCCGGTATTTAATAACTAGTGGCTATAAAAAAAGTTGTTTTTTTAAAAATTCAACACAAAATAGCTTGTCGGTATAACATTTTTAGTTCATGATATAGATCTTTCTAGATTAGTTAATTACTAGTTAAAAATTATAAAATTATTTCTTAAATTTAATAAAAAATAAAAACAACAACAAAACTTTGAATTATTATTTAAAACTATATTGAGATTTCTTTACCAAAAAAAAAATAATTTAAGAAAAATAGTCTAAACTACTAACAATAGCATAACATTAATATTTCTGATAGAAAATTTATATCCACTCTTGTAGTCTTGGTGTTCATATCAATAAGTCTCGAAACAACTTACTTACTCAGATTTAGGTGCTCTTTGTGGTACACTAAAAATAATAAAAAAATATACTAAAGCATATACAACACCAATAAAAATGTCAAACTTAAAAGTGTTTTTGTGAAACATAGTAAAAACAATTTGTGTGTGTGTGTGTGTATATATATATATATATATATATATATATATATATATATATATATATATATATATATATATATATATATATATATATATATATATATATATATATATATATATTGAAAACTGAGGATATATATATACATATATCCTCAGTTTTTAAGTGAAATGCAAGTCTGATTCCTATAATTTGCAAAAGTGTAATAGTTAAAATAAAATATATATGTATATATATATATATATATATATATATATATATATATATATATATATATATATATATATATATATATATATTACACTTATGGATTCAGTATATAAAGACACACACACTTTTACACATATACTTTTACACACACACTATTTAGTTAGTAACTAAATATAAAACATCAAAAACCAACAAAGTAAATATCTCTTGTGAGTATAATATGTTTTGTATATTAAGTTATTATCATTGTTAAATTTTAACAATAATAATAACTTAATATATAAAACATATTATACTCACAGGAGATATTTACTTTGTTGGTTTTTGATGTTTTATATTTAGTTACTAACTAAATATAAAACATCAAAAAAAAAAGTGGTTTTTAACTGAGTTAAAAACAACTTTTTTCTTTTTCCACAAATTTTTATCAAATAAAGTCAGACTTTCAAAAACGTTAAAACTCACTGTGTAACCAGCATAAAATGATAAAAATGTGGGCTGCAAAAATAAATTTTTACTTAAAAAAATATACCTAGGAGGAAAATTATCAAACAAAAGAGATTAAAAGTAAACATTTTAAAACATTATACCACTCTTAACTGAGAAGTTATAACTTACCGCTCTAAAATAAATGTACCGCTCCGCGTCTATTGTTGTTTTTTATACTTATTAACTAACCGGTTTTTAATGAAACCCACTACAATGAATCGATATTACATTATGTTACTACAGAGGTAGCCAGTATATTATTTCACTTCTAAAAAGTCTATTTATCGTAGAAAATTTATAATAAATAAAAAACTGGCCACCTCTGTAGTAACATGGTCTAATCAATCAAACTTTAGGGACACACAAAAGCAATGATCCAAACATTTTTTTTTCTTATCTTGGTTTTTAATTTACAAAATGTATCATTTATTTGATAATATGCAAAAAAATTGAGGAAATTCGGAAATTATCGTATCTAATATAATACCCATGGAAATCCCAAACTTAAAAAACCAAATTTAAAAAATTTGAAATAAATATATTTTTTTTAACTAATGCTAACTTGTTTCAGTTGAAAAATGCTTAAAATAATAAAACTGATTTTTCCAGAAAAGTAACTAAAATCCTATTTCCGCTTCGCGACGCATAGTGCGGGGCTGCGTCATAAAAACAGCTGAAACAAATGTGTTAAGAATTTACATTCCAAAAATGTCTCTTTTATTCGTATTAAGTAAAAAGACTTCTTGTTTACAGCATTAAAATATTCAATAAATGATTTAATAACCTCTTTTTTTATCTTTCCGTAAACAGTAAAAACGTTAAAATTGAAATATTCACATTAGTTTTCACTGATAGCAATTTACTTCCATCATCTCTTTATTGTCGTTTGATTAAATTACTAAACAGAAACGTTTTAGTTTTTATATAACTTCTGTCCCATGGTAATAAGCTAAAACTTCAAAAACGTAGATAATAAAATCACCGAATGTTTGTAAACAAAGTAAAACAACGAGCTTCGTGATGGGATTCCTTCTTGAAAGGTATTCCATACTTTAGAACCTCCAAATAAAATTCTATATATTCTAAATATTTATTTATTCTGCGATGCAGTTTATATTTGCTCTAAGATTATAGTTTTCATTTTTATTTAATTCAAACTTGTTATTAAAGCTTATAGGAGAAATATTGTAATTGTAACGATACATGAAAATTAAATGCTGATAGACATTTATTTCAAACACATAGCCCAAAGTAGAATAATTTAAGACTTTGTGTGTTAACGTAAGAGCAAAATCGATACATCAAACCTATGATTTTGTTGATTTTTGACTGGATGTATATTATATGAGGAAACCAGGATAACTTTTCATCAACAATGATTTCTATGAATCTTATATTGGATTGCTTTTTAATTAGTTTATCATTTAGGAATATTTTAGGCAACTTTAGAGGAAGATTTTCTTTATGTGTTTTTTTATAAAATAGTATACACTTTATTTTCTCAGCATTAAGCGAGAGTTTGTTAGCCTTAAACCAGTTGTTTACTTTATCTTGTTCTATATTCATGTCCACATAAAATTTTTTGATTTTATTGTTGGTGAGAAATAGATTCGTGCTATCTGCAAACATGACTGAATTCAGTTTTAAGGATGCATTACAGAAGTCATTTATATATAGTAGAAAAAGGAGTGGACCAAGAATCGATCCTTGCGGGACTCCATATAACACATTTAATACTCCAGATTGGACATTATGAACATATTGTTTTCTGTTGGTAAGATAGCTTTTAATCCAATAATAGGTTTTATTAATTATTCCGTAATGTCTTAATTTATTAAAAAGAATGCAATGATCCACTGTATCAAATGCTTTTGATAAATCAAGAAATACTCTTAAAGTAAACTTATTGTTTTCCAAACTATTATACCGTGATAAAAGATTTTTGGAACAATTAAACAAGCACAAAAAAAAAATTATTTCAATTAAAAGCAAAGAAACCAGAACAACTCATCTACTGGGCTAATAACCCTTGCTCACTTAATGGCCATAAAATTGACGAACTAAGAGCCAAAATTACCTCAATAGACACTTTACTTCAACCACACATAATTTTGATAGCCGAAACTTGGTTCACCGACAACTCCGACACAAAAATAGCTGGGTACCAGCTGTTTAAAAAAAATAAAATCGGAAGAGGAGGAAGAGTAACCCTCTACACAAAGGAAAGCCTCCATTGTTCTTTTATCAAAATTGACCAATTTAACCGCACCACTATTGAGCAAGTCTGGATCAAATTAAAATTTTACGACAAATCAATTTTAATTGGCTGTCTCTACCATCCTCACGACCTGAACGACTTAACGCTCGATGAAATAATAAGGTCAATAAGTACTGCCTCTGACAAATGGAACTTAATTGGCTGCTCAACCTTACTTGCGTACGGCGACTTCAACTTCAGTAACACTGTGTATTCAAATGTTGACGGAGGAGGTGGCGTCGCGACTGTTGCATACATAAAAAACGATTGGCCAACAGATAGCAAATTTCAAGACTGTCTTGAAGAAAATCATTTGACTCAGCTAATAACTTTTCCAACATATTGCAGTACTCGCGAGGAACCTCCAAAAAATACTCTTGACTTGATCCTGACAAACAAACCAGACCGAATAATTAACATAAAAAAAACACTGTCTTATTGAGGGAAGTATAGCTCTCATCAATTTAAAAACTAAAGGACCCGAAATAACTGATTCCTCTAACCTCTACAAGAACCATCTGATCTGGAGCAAAACCGACTACAACTTAATCTCTACGCATATCGAAACATTCTACTGGCATTCGGCTTTCGACGGCTTGAACGTTTCCGAAAAATACCAAATATTTATCAACAAGTTCAACGAAGCAACCTCATTATACGTCCCATCAACGACCATCCCTTATACTAACAAACACAAAATATGGGTGACCAAAGATGT